CGTTTGTCTTTCTATCCGTTGTATTTCTGTGTATTTGCGTTTAAAGTTTTTTGATTGAATTGTTGCAAATTGTTTGCAAATCTATTTCGATTCTGTTGCCGGCCAGGGCCCCCATCGAACAATTGCTTTTTGTCTTGTCTGAAGGCTTTGCGGCCAGCCACGCAGATACTCGTATCTGAATATATACTATATGTATTCAGATACAAAGAATCGTAGCCAACAAACCGACATGACACTGAGTTATGGTTCTGACAGCTGCAAAAAGCCCCAGCAACTGCCACAGAATTCATGCCGACGCTTTTTAGCCAACCAACCAGCCAGCCAACCAGCCAGTTCGTTTTTTACTTCTTTATTTTGTCTGTTATATAATCCTATTAGCAACCAAAACGCAACTTCAGCAACAGATAAAGTAATTACCCCACACCCCAATAGATGCTTCGCTGAATTTTGCCAAAAGGTAAAATGTTCAACTTTTAGGCCTAACCTTTTTATTAATTGCGCCCTTTTATACACTCGCCAAAAAGGGTATATGCCAGACGAGACTAAGCGAGCTCCATGCACAAAATCAAATCCGACAACTAATTATTTCAATCTAGATAAAACGTATTTTAGAGAATTTATAGTTCGTTGTTTTCCGAATACTTTTTGCTCTTTTTTGATTTGCATTTTGCAACCTTTTTCAATATCATTTGATAGGTGAAATCAATGAGCTGTCATTGGAAAACGGTCAATTTTCATTTACATTACGAAGGAAATGTTGTCTTTAAGCACTGTGGCAGGTGTGGGTGTGGGTGTGGCATGGGTGCTTGGGCAACATCTAGGGGCAACATTTATTTAGCTATTAAATACGCTTCATGGGTTTTGCTTATTTTCATTATCAATTTAAAAGCGCGCAGGCCGAGCTGTAAAAAAGCTTTTAACTTAATTATGTTGGCCATAAACTGCAGGTTTATTTGGCCAGCTTGGCGTGTGAACGCTTGGAACGAAGCAAGTCTAATTAAATGTCCCCCGAGGCATAAAGTCTATGCCGTGGCCGAAAATACACACACACACACACATACAATGGGATCAAGATACGTAGACGAAGCACACAGATACTGTGCTCGCTAGGCGCTGCTGCGAGCTGCCTTGTGGTGAAGTGTTTGCTCGTGAAATACTTGAAGCAATCATTTCTGTCCGTTTCGGCTCTGTCATTGTGGCCAGCTTGAAGTGTGTTGAATGATTTACATAAATTCTGAAATGGCCATGCGGCGAGCACCCTGTATTGACAGAACTAAGCGCTAGCCAAACAGAAACCCACACAGCATACAGCTCACAGCACAGTGAGTGCTTCAATTTTAACTGTTAAAAATATATAATTGTATATATAACCTTATATAACGGCAGCAAGCAGCAACTGGGCGCGAGCACTTGAAGTTATGCGACTTGGGCCGCGAATTGTTTCTTCTGGGCCCTGGCCAGATGTCATTAGCATGTAAGCATGATAAATGACTAAAATGTGAACGCGCACAGACTGCGCTTTAGACGGCTACAAAACAGAAAAAAACATTTGTCTGGACGAACGGCTACGAGCGGCGTGTCTTGGCATGAAGTCGTCAGAAACCATTTGTCACAGTTTTGCCAGGTTTTTGGGAGCTGAGCTTTAAAGCCGCGCCATGACTGGGCAGCTCCATTACTTAACCATTGTCATGGCTTTAAGTCTATTATTCTACTCGCTGAAATTTCAATTCATGTGGCTAGGCACACGCAAGAGAACTTGATTTGCAGCTTGCTGAACTCTGTAATATTTTCAATATATTCTTTTTTCTCCTACAATAAAGTCAGAAATACGTTAATCATATTTTCAGCTACTTTAACATAACAATCGAACATTTCCAATTAGTTGGAAATGATGAGGCAAGTAACCAACTACCAATCCTCTAATAGTAGATGTTTACATACAACATCAACATCTCTCCCAATGGTTGCTACATACATCATAAATTGTGCTATGCGATGCTCGCAGACATGTTTTTTGAATCACGGCCAAAGTTGTAGCTATCATATTTATGTACTATCTATATATATATATGTGTGTATGTGTGTGTGTGTGTTATATTTGTTGCCTTCTCATCTTGCAAACATAGCAGAAATCAATCATACGCAACGTGCGCTCCGCTCGTCATGGCAATGAAATATCGATTACGACACGTTGCCGAGGCAGTCGCACACCATTGACTTATGTCGCGGATATGTGTATCTATATCTTGTTGCTGTAGCTGTTGCTGTTGCTGCTGTTACTCCACAGATAAAAGCAGCTCCAGCTGTTTGCCAGTTTGTCGAAATGAAATGCAAAACGAGTCAACCGCAAGCTACTGCCAGCCGCAACAGTAGACCCAGCGCCCCCTCTACCCGCTAGACCACCATTCCGTCCCCCTTTGTGTTTCATTAACACAACTGCAGTCGTGCGATGGCGACTTTAAGTGCGTGCGCTTAGTGCCATCGGCAGCCGTCAAAAGCAGCGCAGACAACAACGCGGCAGCAGCAGTAAGAGTCGACGTGGTTGCCACATTGACAGACAGCTGGGACAAGTGTACGCGTAAATAAAATTACGTTCGCAACAGGCCGGCCACACGCATTTCAATACCCGACACGCAGCAGCTCTGCGAGGGGTATGCGAGACTTTAAAAAGGTTCAAATAGCTTTACTTTTATTGAATGAATGTCAAGCTAATGTTAGCCTGAGACAAGTGAATGGCCCGATCCGTAAGTAAATTCATATTTAAGCATTTTAGGCCTCTCTTACTTTAAGGTGCTCTTCTTTAAAGAGTATCGTAGAGTCGGATAGTCTACTTTATTCTTAATCAAAGTTAATTTTTCCCTGCCTTTTGCATACCTCGTCGAGCCTCAGCACTTTAAGCCGCGTATTTTCATTCATGGCTGATTTTTTGGTATTTTGTCGGCAAGCCTTTTATCAATCATGCGGCTGTCATGGTACGTGAGCCTCTCGGCCAATAATTACATGCGATAAGTTGCCCAAGTGCAGGCCAGAGACAAATGTGTGTCCCGTCGCTGTCAACCCTCCTCCACCTGCCTCCTCCGCTATTTGCAATTTCTGTCCCTGTTGCCAGTTTAAACTCATTAATAATGACCCGAGGCGTGCGCCGCGTCGCGCCGACAACGACAACGACGTCGATAGCGACGACTGCCAGTGGTTGTCCGCCCAGGTTGCCATTGTCAAATTGTGGGACACGCCCACTACACAACGCCTGAATCGTAACACATGTCTAATGCGCAATTTATGCTAGCCAACAGCCAGGTAGACGGGTAGGGAAAGGGGGGCAGACAAAGTCGCTTTGAATAGCTTAGAGCCGCTTGTTTTCAGTCGATTTGGTGGCTTACTACGGCTTACAGCTTGTTGTGGCTCGCATTTAAGACTTGTTGCGGCAGCCAAGTGCATGTAGTTGTAAAATTATTATAAATGTCTTGTTGATGAGCTGTGATTATTAACGTTTACGTGCTTCAATTCTGCTGCAGCCACAGTTGAAACGGCCACAACAGCCGCAAATAGCAGATGTGGTAAAAACTTAAGGCATGCAACATGCAACTTGGCAGCTCAATGAGACGCCAAGTGTCATTAGTCAGTTCCGAGAATTGCTAACTAGCCTGTCGTCCCCTTGGCCTGCTCGATCAATCAGGAACGAACTGGAACACTATGCCGTGGGCGCCTTACAAATCAACTGCTCTGATTATGCAGATACATGTACGTATCTTTATGCTCAGACCGAGACGTGTGTATCGCTGAGCCATATAATTAACCGGCAGGCCTCTCAAGCCACACCGCTCATTATGTCGCAGACCCCACAGGCAACCTTGATGACATGCATTTGCATAAGATATACGCATAAGTATGCTTATCATGTCATATTGTGTTCCACTTAACAGAGGTAGTGCAATGCACTCGCTCCTGATATGTAAAGGGACTCCATTGAGATAACAAAGATGCTGTCTCTATAAAAGATTTAAGCCAATATTGTTATAAACTTCTTAAAGTTTTACTGTCTTTATTATAAATTAAAGCAGAAAACTTTATTTCCTTTCAAGTAAATATATAGAATAATGTAATCTGATAACTGTGAAGTTCTTTTTATGTATTTTGTGATTTGTGATTTTATTGTTTTTTTTTTTTCAAAATTTCTCTCACTTTGTTTATGTTTGCGATGTTTGCTTAATCAAAAAATATTTAATAATTAAACGGCCTGAGACAAAGGCCATGAACAAGGTTTCTGATTTCTTGGGAATTTTATATATATTTATTTTTATTGCACGCTTGGATAGCATTTTTGCCAAGCTCTGCTAAAATCAAACACCAAAACCAGGCCACACACACATGAGAAAATCACAACTATTTATTTGATTTGTCCGCACAATGATGCCAACTATGAGATGGCGTGCAAAATCAGCAGAATTTTCTAAGCAACGCACACAGACAAAAGGCGACAACGATGCGACAGTTCAGAGCTGGGAGCTCTCATCTCTCAGCTCTTGTCGTCGCTGACGACCCATTTAATTTGGCAAACGTGCGCAGTTTTAAAGCAAGAGGCAACCACAGGCTCTGTCCGTGTGGCAGCAACAACAGCAACAGCAGCAGCAGCAGCAGCAGGCGACGTGTGAATGATGACACTTTGCATGTTTGCCAAGTCACAGACTGCGGCTCAGGCTCTGCACTAAATATTGATGAGGGTGCCCAGTGATGGGCGCCAAGGGTTGCCGGCTGGGCTGCTAGGGGTTAAGGCGTATGATGGTTAGCATATGGTAGGCACGTGCAAAGTATGCAACACTTTTTGTCAATTGACATAAATCACAGGCCTTGTGAGAGGCAACACGAGCAGGACGAGTGCCGTGCGGCGTGTGGCGAGTGCGTGTAGTTTTAGGATGTTCATGTTGCTGTCATTTGATGTACTTGTCGCTGCTTATGTGGCTAATGTTGACACTAAAGGGTATCATGAGAGGCTAACTTACCTTGATCTCGTGTATGAAGTCGGTCTCATCCAGCAAATTAATGCGCACGGACATTATCCGCGAGGGTCGACACAGGCAGTTCATATTGCAGCCGTTACTCTGTTACTCAGTTCGTATTTGTTACCTCTTTGGAGTTTAAGCGAGTTGCGTATGCGCCGCGTTGTCAGTCGAAATCGTCAGCATTTTCGCGTGAGCTGCAAGTGGAGATTGAGATAGAGAAACAGATATAGTAAGCGTGAGCTGCATGGAAAGTAGTAATTAAACTGTGCACATAACTAATAAATAGTTTTGGATGTGCTCGCTATCATTCGAGTTAGTTGCATGCAGCAATTAGCCAGCTGTAAACGGGTTTCAGTTTGAGATACACTTAAAGATAGACGAGGACTCGCTAAGGCAATGCTAGCGTCAACGCAAACAAACTGGCGCTGACAGTTAGCGCAAATGCCTTGTTTTAATAACTCTTTTTGGCCGTGGCTTGTATTAAAGCCGCTGGCACTTATCTCTGCCGCAGATCGCGGCAACAACATCAGCAACTACACCAACAGGAATGGCAATGACAAACCAACTGTCAGCAGTTGTGCCGCTCCCCAGTCGAGTATTATCATTATAATTTTATAATTGCGGTTGTTGCCAGCGATAAGTTTAATATGCACGAAGCAGTTACAAAAACAACAGCCACAACAACAACAGCAACAAAAGTCACTTAAGCGGATTAGTTTAAGGGCGCTTCTGTGAGTGTTGGTTCTGAACCCCGCATCTATTTACTGTTGCCTAAAAGCAGATTATGTCATTAGAGATACTTATAGTATATATAGAGAAGGAAGCTACGCCAGCAGCTGCGCTCGGGCTTTAAGCTCTTGGCAGCTTTGGGGATTGCAACTAAGGTAAGCCGTTCGTATATAAACATAAACCTAATATCTTTATACATATTTGATTAAGTTTTAATTTACATAACTCTTCAATAATAACAACAATATTTACTTCAAATTTAATTCTGGCTAAATTTGTTGGGTTGGCTTGAATTCGCAGTTTTCCCATATAAATTCTGTGCTTCTAGAGAGATTTGCGGTATGTTACACTTGGATGTGGCATCAAATTCAGCTGACAGCCGTTTGTGGCAGCTTCTGTGGCAACTACAAAATAATTAATGCACGTTTCGCATAATGAAAAGCAACGGCGAAAGAGGCAACAACAGACGTATGAAAAAAGCGACAAGAGGCAGCAAGTCATGTTAACATTTCACACATTTCGCATGGCAGCCAACTGCAAGCTGCAGACGAAGAGATTCAGCTGGAGGTCTGTTGTTTTGCATAGAGCTGGGAGCTGCAGCTTAGGCATTACTGATGATAGCTGCTGCTATGAGATTTGCATGGCCTTTCAATAGTTGCCTTTGCCGTTGCCGTTTGCCGTTTGCCGTTCGCCGTTCGCCAGTGCCGTTGAAGTTGATGAAGTTGTTGCTGTCTTCGTATGCGCACAGCTGGCACATTTCTCAGGGGGGGGCTCATACTCAAGGCGCTCATTACGCTAATGAAGTATTATGCCTAATTAATGGAAAGTCGGCTGACTGACTGTCAGCTAGACTGGCATGTGTCAGACAAGTGTCTTTAACTTGGTCACTCTGTCAACGCGACCATGGCAACGCGGGCAACATGCCTCAATTAAATTTAATAAGAGCATATATGTATGTGAGATATATCATATATATATTCATGTGAATGACAGTCGCTATGAATGGCGCTGCATGTAATTTTAATTGCATTCAAACGCGGACAAACGGCAGTTCGTTCAACTCCACAGCACAGTTGCTGCGTGCACCACCCGCAACAACAACAGAAGCAACAACCAGAAGCAGAAGCAACATGCCACAGCACGGCACTTGCAGCCACACAGCGGAAAATACCATTTACATCTGCGTATCGCATTTTTCTGACAATATTTTACAAATTACACATTCGTTTCTTAAAGCATATTGAAGCTTTCCATATTTCTGATATATTTCATCAAATTTATCATAAAACTTCTTCAAACTGACAAATCGCGGCATTAACCACATCTAACTACCAAACCACCGAAGCTAAGCCAAAAACTTGAAAACATGTGATAAATATGACATTGATCGGTTTTTGAGCGGGTACAACCCAACCCCCTACTGCCCCCACTGTCCTCCATCCCCCTGCCCAACTAGGCACTTACAAAATTTATAGCTTCGGCATATTTATAGCGTCATATCTTTACGCCTGGCCTTATGCACAACAGGACATCATCAGGAGCAGCCAGCGACGACACCCTCATAATTTCTTATGCCATCAAATTTATCACCAGTGAGCAAAGTCTTCAGGAGACGGTGCGGGTGGCTGTGTGTGAGGCGTGATTTTTCGGGCTTGCCCAAAAAAGTTCGCTTGATTTGTGATAAAGTGCGTGTGTGTGGCATTGGCCAACCAGAACGACTAAAGCGTCCGTTTCGACCTGATCGACCCATTGCCAAATCTGTCTATTTATCAGGCAGCAGCCAAGACCGAACTTTGCTTTCAATTTCAGGCGAATTTTACTGCGGCCTCACACTCTGTTCATTGCCATCCAGCATTTTGGGTTTATTATTAATAAGTACACACACAAGCACACACTCGCACACTCACACACTCACATACAGTCATCAGGTCGACTCTTTGCCTGGCTGCATTCCATTTTCTTTTTATTTATTTACTTCGCTTTTTTGCTGCCTGCTGACGGGCGTATCAATAACTGAAAATGTCTCAAACAGCATTTTGTCATATTTCAATGAATGCCACGCCCTCAGCCCCTTTAGCAACCCACCTCATTTGATGTTTGCGGAAGTAACACCCAAAAAGCAGAGCAAACAAACTTTTAGCACATGCCCATACATTCAGCCAACCTCTTCCATCTGACGACTACACAGGATGCTGTGTGGCTGGCATCTCAGTGCTCCAGTTTCTTTTGGTCTGTTTGCCGAGCTAAACGAAATTATTTATTACTTTCGGCGCAAATGGCGGTCTGTGCTGTTGCTGCCGCTGTATGCATAGAGGCTGCTGGTAATGATGATGAAAAACGTGAAAGCATCGAAAAGTGCAAATGGCTAAAGGTGAACCGTGTGCTGTAAAAGGCAGAAGGATTGCTTCGAACCCCCCTTTAATGATGATTAAATGCGTCTCAGCCTGGGTTTTGAGGAAGGCACTCTGACACATTTTGTCGAGCAGTGATTTACCTTTTCCTCTCACTGTTTTCTCCATTTTGTTGTGGCTGCTTTTCGTTCAGGCGTCTATGAAGCTGAGCTCAATCAAATGACCTGGAAAATGAACTGAGCTGGTGGATTTATTTGGTTGACTATTTCCCAAATAACGGAAAGCTAATGATATAAGATTTTGTATTCGAAATCAGCGTAATTAAGTTCTAAGAATTTACAGTGGAACACAATCCTAAACAGTTTTTATTGCCCCTCATAGATATGCATTTCTAAAATAATTTAACATGCCGAATGCCCCCATATTTTTTTATGACCCGAACAATTATGTTCGAGCATTTACACACATGGGTGCAGTGTGTGTGCGTGTGTGTTGCACAGAGCCACAGCTACAGCAGCAGGCGGCCACAGGCGAGCATAAATTTTGCAGCAACAACAGTTGCTGGCGAGTGCGACGCTCAAAAGAGTTGCGAGAGGCAGCGGCAGTAGGCGGCATGTTGCATACCTCGGGCATTTGCAGCAATTAACACGGTCGACGGCGTGCCTTGGCGCCCACTTGTGCCTGCCAAGCAATTTCTTGTAGACTCTTTTTATTTTTAGCACGTAATGAGCCAGGACGACTGCCGAAGCTGGCTCTAATTGCATTGACGCGTTCGCTTTGGCATGACATTGAGTATGTCAGCCGCAGCAGCAGCCACAGCCTTCAGGCCGCATTGTGTGAATTGAGTTGCAGTTAATTATATCCAGGTGGCATTTCGATGATTTTAATGATTTGTAGCGGTTTTCAAGCAAATATTTCAAGCATTTGGTTTACGTCTTGACCAGACTCCTCTCTCTCTCTCTCTCTCTCGCTGTATCTCTAGGGAACTTGCTGGTTGTAACTTGCAGGCGTCGAGTGCAATGACACACAAGTTCTTGTGCCGTGTGCTCTATGAGTATTTATTTACAGTTGCCGACTGCGTTGACGACAGCAGCGACAACTGAGCGTGTGTGCGTTAATATTTAAGCGGCTACATGGGAACTTGTTAACACCAACCAAGCCAACAACAGCAGCAACAACAACAACAACAACAACAGCACAGACCAGCAGCCAGCTCAAGGGAGTGACGGGGGCGCCGCTGCTGCTGCTGCCTTTGGTGCTGCTGGATGCAGGAAGCTGCTGGCTGGCTGGCTGGGTCTGGGTCTGGGGCTGGGCCACGTGAGTGATTGTCAAGTGGTTGACGCTGCAGACAAATGAAATTCGCTTAAAGTGCGCCGCAGTTGGCGCGGCTGACGCGACGCCAGCCACGTCTAGGACAACTTGACTTGACTCGTTGCCTGCGAGGGGGCGTGACTGCTAGGCTGCCACGCTGCCAGGTTGCCAGCTTGTAGTCATTGGATTTTTTTCATAGTCTGCATACTGTGGCTTACCCACGGGCATTTCGCATTGACTCTTGTAGGCGTGGCTAGCACATGTGTAGCATAATTTGTTTGAGAGAGTCTTGCCTAAACATGGCAATTAGCTTTAATATTAAAATATATTTTTAATATATAAAAAATATGTTTTAGACTTATCTATATATGAATGCAAATACTGATAGGTATTTAAATTGTTAAAAAAATAATCTTAAACAATTTAAAAAAAAAAATTAAAGATTTACATTTTATCTTTGTCTGATAATTGGCATTTGATATAAAGTATTTCGTAGTCGTGTAGCCGCAAGGTAAGGCAACAGTCATCAACGTCGCTGCCCCCGTTGCTTATGACTTGCGTTACGTGATTTTTCTAATAGAAAATTCTTTTGAGAGTGGAGTAGGGGCGTGGGCCGAGGGCTAGCTAGGCAGCATGTGAAACTGTAAAATAGAATCAGCTCATTCGTCTTGTTGCGGAAAATGCATTTTATTTTCTATTCGGCATGGCACATGCGTGAAAATTACTTTATTTTTAATGACTCAGATGATGGCGATGATGACGTGGATGACGGGACAGCTGAGTTGAAAGTAACAGACCCGGAC